TTCAGAGAATTTTTCAAGATTTTAGGGGGGTTTTGGGGTTTTTCTGTGGGGGGGGGTTAGGGGTTGTTGGGGGGCTTGGGGAGCATTTTTTGTTTGTAATACACCAAAATAATAACAAATTCAGAAAGAACGCGAAAAATTCGATAGGATTCGATACTTGACACTCTCTCTCAGCTTGGACTGTCCACACGAAAAACGGTCTCAAACTCGAGAAACTGGAAAAAACGGCCTTTTCTCCAGCTCCCCAGTCATAATTTACATCCTGGTCACTTAACAGGTTAGATCGTTAAGCAGTATACAAGGTGTAACAACTAAGTGACGACAAACTTCCAGGGGTTGTTCCATGGCTCAAAACAAGCAGAAAAGTTCCGTACCAAAATCCTCTACGATGCGTGGTTCTCGAGTTTCGGGGAGTTCAATTTTTGAAAAAAATACCGCACGTGTTCAGATATGACGTCACAGTGGCTGTCCTAATTGTCGGAACCGAAAAAAATTGTGGTTTCGTAAAGTGCTCATCAATAGCTTAACAAAAGGTATTTTCGTTTTTTTTTTTCGTAAAACCCCTCTTAATGGAGTTATTGACCGTAAAAAAAATACCGTATCACCGCACGTCGCAAATAAAGTTGGTTAGGACGTACGGTAAAACGGTATTTTTTTTAACGGTCAATAACTCCACTAGGTTTTATTGAAGAAATACCAGAGGGTGGTTCGGGTGTGTATGCAGAAGGCAGATATAAGGCCCTTATTTAATTTTTTAACTGTAATGCGATGTATTTTAATACTAAGTACACAGTTTGTATATGATTGTTCAGAATAAAGTGACTTGTTTAATAATGAAAGGAATAAATGAATGAATAATTATAGTAAAAAAAAATTTAAAAATATATCTCCATTAGAGGGGGTTTTACGAAAAAAAAAAAAAAAACGAGAAAACCTTTTGTTGAGCTATTGATGTAAATTATGACTGGGGAGCTGGAGAAAAGGCCGTTTTTTCCAGTTTCTCGAGTTTGAGACCGTTTTTCGTGTGGACAGTCCAAGCTGAGAGAGAGTGTCAAGTATCGAATCCTATCGAATTTTTCGCGTTCTTTCTGAATTTGTTATTATTTTGGTGTATTACAAACAAAAAATGCTCCCCAAGCCCCCCAACAACCCCTAACCCCCCCCCCACAGAAAAACCCCAAAACCCCCCTAAAATCTTGAAAAATTCTCTGAATGGCCCACTTAACATGATTTTTCACCATTTTCACTCGTTCCAATCGAAAGTACGCAACAAATTACCCGGATACAGGTATCCCATGAATGATTGGCGAATCTTCCCGGAGAGTTAGCGAATTTTCATGTTTTATTCAAGGATGGTTCCATTCAACAAAAGTCCATTTTTAACTATGAGCGCAATTTTTCCACACCGTAATTTTTGGCGTGTTTCATGTACTGGTATGTAACTTTAATCTGTTAAATTTTGGTGATGTGGCAAAATTGTGCTGGGTGTAAATGAAGACTAATAATCGTGGAAAATGCAGTTTTTTCGGTTTTCTCAAGTTTAGAGCTGTTTTTCGTGTTGACAGTTTAAGCTGAGAAAATGTCTAACCAATGATTTCTGACGGATTTTTTACGCTCTTTTTGAATCTGCAATCGTTTTTGTTGTATAATCATCCGTTTTCTAGTTATAGGTGAAAAATTGCCAAAAAACCCCAAAAATCGTTGAAAATATCTAGAATGACCCCTAAACCCTTCGTTGCACGGTGGTACACTTGTCATACCACTTCGGTTTTTAATTTTTACAGCGCTGCCAATGTGATGAGCGGGCTCAACTACTGAATCATTGGGTCCAATATACCTCTAGTTATCGTTGCTAAATGGTATGACCATTCATTTTTACAAAATGATATGGCTACAGCGTATTGTATGTCATGAAAACCCGGTATTTTAGGTTATGTTGGATCCGCATTGTTTTTCTTCGTGTCATGTGTGAAAAATAGGTGTTATTTTTTAGATAAATGTGATTCTCTAATCTAACTAGCCGTAATTTACTAGGTGCATTGCAGTTTTTACTTGATTTTTCATTTTGGTCGATTTTTTGAGCTGAAATAAAGTGGTATGACAGTTATACCACCGCACACACAGCATTTTGTAGATAACTCAATTTTCTGTGCCATCTCGAGGAAATCTTTCTCCCCGTTTCAAGTTTTGATCCCAATGTCACTCGAGAACCGACATTTCCTTGTCCTAAGCTTATTTTTTGGGTGAAGGGTGAAGCTACTACTTACCTCTCAAATTCAGTCGCCATCTTGGATTTGGGGCACCCTCTTTGACCGGGGTTTTTTTTTATGACTGCATGCTTGAAATGTGCGACTAAAGTGATATAAGAATTGAAATCTAACTTGTCTAATCACATAAAATCCAAAAAATGCTCCCTCCCACCTTTCAAAATTGGCAACCATCTTGGATTTAGGGTACTTTCTTTGAAAAGGAGGCCTTTATGACTTCATATATGAAATTCACAACAATAATTTTATCACAATTGATATCTGATATTGATATCAGATGCCTGATCACGTAAGAATTTAAAAAATACACCCTCCTGCCTTTCAAATTTGACCGCCATCTTGGATTTTGGGACACCCTCCTTGACCGGGGGGGGGGGGGTTGGTNGGGGGGGGGTTGGTTGGTGGGGGTGTTATGACTTTATATATGATGTGGGTGTTATGACTTTATATATGATGTGGGTGACCAAAGTGACATTGGAATTGATACCTAACTTGCCTAATCACTTATAATTGCAAAAAATGCACCCTCCTGCCTTTTAAATTTGGCCGCCATCTTGGATTTAGGGTACCCCCTTTGACCAGGAGGCCTTTATGACTTTACATATAAAATTTACGAAAAAAGATACATCAGAATTGATATTTCAGGTGTCTGATCAAGTAAAAATTTAAAAAATACACCTTGCTGTCTTTCAAATTTGGCCGCCATCTTGGATTTGGGGCTCTGTCGTTGACTGGAGGGCTTTTATGACTTCACATATGAAATCGACGACTAAATTTACATCAGAATTGATACCTCACTTGCCCAATAACGTAAACTTTTTAAAAAATGCACCCTCCTGCCTTTCAAATTTGGTCGCCGTCTTTGATTTGGGGCTTTTTCGTTGACCGGGGGGCTATTATGACTTCTTATATGAAATTTTGGACCAAATTTTCATAAGAATTGATATCTCACTTGTCTAATCACGTAAAAATTTTTAAAATGCACCCTCCTGCCTTCCAAAGTCAGACATCTTGAATTCGGGGCAGTATCTTTGACTGTGGAGGGGGGGGGGCTGTTTTGACTTCATACATTAAATCTACTACCAAAATGACCCAGAAAATGATACCGCACATGCCACTCTTTATTGACCACAAATATTCTTTAGTTTTCCCCCCCCCCCCCTCCCACAAAAAATTTTCCCCTAGAACTTCAAATATACACCCCCTTTCTTTTTCTTCTTTTCCCCCATTCCTTCCACCCTAATTCTGTGTAGTCACAAAGTTTTTGGATTTTGACCTTTTTCATATTCATTTAAAAAAAATTTTGCTTGTGTTTGAAATTTAAATTTTGACTTTTTTTTTATTTATTTATTTTCATCTTGACTGCCGTTCTCCACTCGCTGGAACCCCCCCCCCCTCCTATACCTGACCCAAAAATGATATATGTGATAATCGATATCACTAAAATTAGAAAGTTGAAATCATACATACATACAAATGTACTCTATATATTAAAATCCAATGTGGTCAGCAAAGTGGTATCACAATTATACCACCGCACAATGAGAAACCTGGAAGGTGAGTGTGCGGTGGTATGACAGTTCTACCACTTTTCCTACCCCTACAGTATTTTAGAGAAGGGATGAAAAAAATTTTTGCAGCGTTTTTTGTGCTTATCTTTATCATTAAAATTTAACCATAACATTTTTTTTTAAAAAAAATGAAAAAAAAATTTCCGTGCAACAAAGGGTTATTAAAAGTGGGTTTAGACAATTTTCGCCTGTTCCATTGAAAAGTACGCAAAAAATTACGTGTGTGAACCTCTCGTATTCATGAAACAAAGCTTTTTTGGGCTCGTCGTAAAATTAAAACCATTTTTCAGCCGAAAAATTGAGTCGGCTGTTTTGGCAGGAAAACGATGCACAATCGCAAAAATATTTTGCGCCAGAATGCACCTACCCTAGGGTACTTAAAATATGGGTTCAGATGATTTTTTGAAGTGGGGCCAAAATCGGCCCTTATCGATACCCCTCCTTTGGATTTCTCGGGGTTGATTATCTGGGTAACCATCTTTTTCTGGAGAATCTACGTCAATTTTGAGACCAAGAGACATTATGGAGGGGGGTACTGGCCCCCTCTTCAGGGGGTCATTTTTGGGCCTTGGATGGGCCGAATATGGATTTTTAGGGGTCAATTTCACGTGAAATTTTCCGTGCTTTTCAATTCTGATGCGATCAATCCGCAATTCGGTCGAGAACCGTGACTTTTAGCATCGTGACCCCCCTTTACCCCCCAAGGGGAACCACGGGACCACGAAATTCGGATTCCTTGGGGTCAATTCCCTATGCAACCCCGCGGTCCCCGACTTCGTACGACCTAAAACAACCGAGAAAAAGGCCTGGTACGGGTGGTCTGAACCACCCTGTATTGTCAGAGAGCGAAAATATTTGGCAAGTATCGTATCAGACGGAGAGGAACGAACTTCACGGTTTAGCTCACGGCCTCCACCACAGAACATGTCATTGACACTCGGAGACCCGAATTTCATGGTCATGGGGCTCCCCTGATCTCTCTTGATATCAATTATCCAGAATAACATAATCATATATGTATTGGCTACTAGGGTAAGACAATTCCATGCTTTTTAATTTTTGAGTCTTCCTCTTTGATTAAAAAAAACTGAGTGTGATTCAATTAAATATGAGCAACTATGTTGAGACGAGTACAAATTGTTAAGGTGAAATTTCAGCTTACGAATGCTAAAACACATTTCATGATCATGAAATGTTTCAGGCCCGGAGTCAACATTGTCGCAAAGACCTCTGAGTCGATGGAGGAGGACCTCCACAGCTGCGTCTAGGACACTGCCTTGCAACAGATATTCTTGGTTTGGTATGATGTTGCTTTTCAACGCAGCAGTTAAACTATCCATTGCAGTATTCACAGGCTGACCCCAATCCTGGAAGAGATGGAAAGAAACAACATAAATAACAGAAACAATCAAAAGAAATACTAAAATAGATAAGTCTCACTGTAACTGCAAAGACGTAAAATAACCGCTCGTCATATGGAGATATATTCGAAACAAATATTCATACGCACGAGAAGTATACGCAGAGCGACTGTGAGAGAAGAGAGAGAATAACGCAGAGAACACGATGATGTAGGTTAAGGCTACTTGCATCAGTCGCCATAGTGGAGGGTGGGAGCGCGCAGACAGCTGTGCAGTCAAATGAGAAACGATAAATTCAGTATTTTTTTTTTATTATAATTTTTCCTTCATAAGAGCAGTCCACAATTACAGAGACGTACACTATACATTTCGTTGATTTGATGGCCAGTATGAAAAATAAAATATGTCCGGTTTACCGCCTTACATGAAACATGAACTTGCTTATGAAAAAACTGCCTACAAAAAATGTCGAAGTAGTTGGATTTTCTGCTCTAATGCGCAGCCATTCAGGTACCGCCTTTCCTCCAGGGTTTCCTACATTTTGTTCTAGTACGGTTTTGAATGCTGTTTGGCGTTATCGTCTTTATAATATAGTTCTCACTTTCCCTTTTTCGCCCGATGTAAAAAAAAAGTAAAAAAAAAACGTGAAATCTTTTTGCATCGGGTGAAAAAGTAAAAGTGAGTACTATGCTGATACAACCCGATAAAGGAGGAAAAAGAAACATAACGTTATCGTCATTGCCTCCGAATGCAATTCTAGTCTCAAGAATTAATAAACTGTTCAATAATGTAAGTAATTCTTGGTACTTATTATTATTTCATCAAGTTATAGGCCCAGTCGCGCTTGCATGCTCTTATCTCTTCGTTTCGGTTCAGTCGGGTATACACGCTCGTGAAACTTGTTGTTGCTAATGTTGTGTCAATGTTGATAAGTACAAATGCTTGATTTCCGAATTTGTTCCATTCATTATGGATACAAAAATCGAACTGGAAATTGACAGACCAGAGAGCCAAAGAGAGTGGTGCGACTGGAAGTTCCCAGAGGTCATCTTGCAAAAATGGATTGGCATGAGAAATGTCGTCGAAGGAATTCAAGATCCCTCCAAACCACTGACTACATAGGTTGTCTCAAAAGTACTGCAGGTTTTTTTTTTTTTTTTTGGACGAACGGTGGTAGATATCAAAATGCGGTTTGTGTAATCTTAAAGACCGAGCAATTACCAATAAAACAAGACAAATCCGAGCTCTCTAAGTCAAAAAATGACCAAGTTACAGTGTTTTGAAAATGACTTGTAGAGGTGACCCCTCCAGGATTTTTAGCTTATTTTCTGGAAAAAACAAAGATTTGATTAATCAAAAAGTCTACAGACAAATCGTTGCGATCGAATGAAGTTGGCAACATAGTATCAGCCCGGACCTTTCACGCTGCAATTTTTGGTTACTCCCTATGTTGAAAAAGGGCTTAAAAGCAGGAAGTTTAACTCCATCAACGAGATAAAAAGAGCTGTTGAAACTTTCTTAAAGAACATCAGGCAAGAGGAATTGGAAAAAACATGTTTGAAGAAGTGGGAAGAACGGTTGCGGCGCTGTGTGGCAAGTGATAGAACATATTTTGAGAAGGAAACTAGTGTCCAGTGATCCAGTGAAGAAGAGTAAATGCTAGTGATCTTGGTAAGATTCTGCAAAATTGATTTAATAAAACCACTTGAAGCCATAATTCTTTGTTTTTTTTCCAGAAAAGAAGCTGAAAATCCTGTAGGGGTCTCTTCTACAAGTCATTTTCAAAACACTGTAACTTGGTCATTTTTTAACTTAGAGAGCTCGAATTTGTCTTGTTTTATTGGTAATTGCTCGGTCTTTAAGACTACACAAACCGCATTTTGATATCTGCTACTGTTCGTCCAAAAAAAAAAAAAAAAGTGCAGTACTTTTGGGACAACGTATGTACAACTGCTACAAAAACTAACTTAGAAAAGCACCGTGCAGAGAAGAGAGCTTTTGCTACATTGGATTTTGGGGCTCTACAGATGATAGTGAGCATAATGACATGTACCGTTCGTCCATTGATTAACATGAAAAAAAAGTCCAGTAAAGAAATGTGGACAAAACTGAAGAGTGTTTTATCACCTAGAACTGCGCAGCAGCAAGACAGAGGAATGTTATCCTAGGATGACCAACGATATGTGTCATTCATCATCCTAGAATTCCTAACAACATGTCGTAGGATTTTCAATGACATGCATTCTTCTAGAGTACCTTTGTAGACAGAGTATGGCCATTCGTATCTTTTTACTGCAGAATAACTGTGCCCCTTTTTGATTGGTCGACGAGTTTTTAGGCTTCATGATGCTCTTACAGCCGTAAATAAACAAACAAGATGGCGACTCACCGTAATATTGATAAGAAGCTAAAATTTGAAAAACATTTCAATTATACAGCAGTAACAATTTAAACTAGCATATCTTCGAATAACACATGAAAACACTATTGAATCGCCTTTCGCCTTTATCATAGGAGGATGTAAGATGTGCATAACCTCAAACTTGCTTGCTGATAACAGCCATCTTGTTTGTTTATTTACGGCAATTTACGGCCGTAAGAACATCGTATTCGCCTATTTTCTCGCGGCCAATGAGTAACCGGCAAAGAAATGGCCATACCTTGCCTATAAGGGTACTCTACATCCATCGATGCTGTTCATCGTCGTAGGATTTTCAACGACATAATGGGGTTGAATATCTTTCAATGTCTGTAAGAGGAATGAAGAATATCCTTGGAACGACATCTGATGATAAAGTGGCGAAAGTTATATTTTTCTTGCGAAAGTTGTGAAGATTCATTGTCAGCCTCGTTAAGATTTGATAGGATGTATTTGCAGCATCCTACTCTGGAGGTGCGTTGGCTGAGGCTCCATCAGATAAGGCTATAGTCATTAATACTGTTATTTCGTCCGCTTTACAATTGAATCTATAATAATTCTTCCATCTAATAGCGCCGATTCAGAGAGGAGACTCTTATAAACAGGGTTTAAGAGGAATAATAAATTATCAAAACTAGCGTTTTAAAATATGGCTATTCTCTAGAATTGACTTCATATATATAAGCTCCAAGACCTCCTAATTTTGCGTAACTGATAACGCTTAGTTCAAACGTTCTACCATGCCGATTTTAATGATTTTTGCGGCTGTCGACGGGCAATTGTCTCTAGATAAGCCAACTCTTTTCAGATTTTCAAAATATGGCCCAGGTTTTTATATATTAAGTGGTAAAGTTGCGAATTCTCCCATTTAAACAATGTAAATTTATACTTTTTGTCATAGTTCGTTTGAGCGTTCTACCGGGCCGATTTCTATGATTCTTGCGTAAATCGACAGGTAGTAGGCCCTAAATGAGCTCGCTCTAATCAGATTTTGGAAATAGGACCCAGGTTTTTTTTAAAATCACGTTATAAAATTGAGAGAATTTACGGAATGCTCCGGGACTGCTACCGCTGTGCGCGGGAGGATGCGCAGTGGTCGAGGAGGTTGCGCAGTAGCTGGGTTGCCTCCGCATCAGCTCTATACTTATCTACACAAGATTCACGCCAATTGTCCTCATATGAGCGGTGGCCGAGTCGTCTAAGACGTCGCCGGATGCGTCCACATAGATCCCGATGTGGGCTCGATCCCCGATTCCTGACTATCTTAATTATTACCTGATTATCATTGTTCGTTGTTTTACTGCGATATTTCATCAAGCAGTCATTCCAAAACGCGTTCTTTTGACTTCAAAAAAAAAATTTTTTTTTCTTTATTCATCAAAACCAAAAATTATTTTATTCTGAAAGTAAAGCATACCTCATATCGTAATATTTTAGGGGAAAAATAAAACTAACACTGATAAAAGGGTAAAAATAGGGCTGCGAAGTGGCCCATTGATGGCGCGGAGCGCCTTCAGGGGGTTGGGCCGCGTAGCGGCCAGGGGGCGAGCCCCCTAGTATTTTCATACAAATTATGCATACTACTTATGCGATGTGTTCCAGAAATTAACTTATAAAATTATAGAAAAAACTGAACTAATAACATCTTCTTTTCAAAAGGAGTAAATTTCAACTAATGCCAAGATGGTCAGTAAACTGACATATTCTTATGAAAATTTGTTTAATACTTGTTGTTAAGTGTTTGTGTATTTGTTAAGTGTTGTTTAAGTTGTTGTTGAAGAGAGCAAAATATGTGGCCAGCAGGCCAAATCAAGACTGAGACTACTTTTAATTTTTGTCAAAATTTTAGATTGAGATTCCCTCTTTCGTACTCACAGCTTGGGCACACTTCCTAGGTAATGTAACAATGAAAAGCTGTTGGAAAGTGCTGACTTATTCAGATGTTTTGATTAAGGATACACCTACTGATCAAAAACTGGCCAAGAAAATGATAAAAATAAAAAAAAGGAAATGTAAATAATAAAATAAAAGCAAATGTACATAATAAATAAAAGTAAATGTAAATTACGAATAAAAGTAAATGTAAATAATAAATGTATATGAAAATAAATAAAAACAATTATAAATATAAAATAATAAAAGTACAAGTCAATAATAAATATAAATGAAAAATGAATGTAAATCAAAATCAAAATAAAGTAAATGAAATAAGAGTAGGTAAATTTAAATAAAAAAAAAATAACCTTCCCATTCTTTTGATAAACTGTCACTGCAGATTGAGAGAGTATTATTATTTCTTAAGATGTTTTACAAGATCATTTGCGTTAGATGATCCAAAAAATGACTTTTTTTCTGAGGGGATTGCAGATCAGGGCTCTTCAAGGGAGCTGAGCTCGAAAAATGTGATAATACATATCCGTGTCTACAGTTATTCTCGAGCCCTAATCATCCGATATCCTTCTTATTTTAAAAATGTTCAAAATGAATTCAAGACAATCAAGTATGCTTATCTTCTTAAAACAATCTTTGATTTCCTTGCTATATGTCCAAGTCTTAAGTCAAAGAATAAGAGAGAAATAGGAATAAT